AAAAAAAAAAAAAAGGAGAATATGAAAATAGTTTTATTATTATTATTATTATTATTATTATTATTATTATTATTATTATTATTATTAATTTGAGTAAAATAATATTTGTGGGATTGGAAATTTTGTTATCTTGAGCTGGCTATGTATTGATTTTGATTTTTTGGGGAAAAGGTTTTCTCGAGCTATGTTAGCAGATAGGGTTGCAGGTTTCGTACGTTTGTGTTTAGGGCGGCGCTGGTAACTAGGTGAAGATCATGATGCCGCCACGTGGGATCGACGGTGAAAAAGCCAACAGCCGGCGCTAGTTTGGGTCCTCATCGGGGCAATAGTTTGATTTGTTTGAGAATTAGGGCAGCTTAGCCGAATCGAATCGAGTCGACCCTCGGCCTTGTCGAGTCCACGCTCAGTTTTGTATACCTATTCGAGCTCAACTAGCCTGTATTGCCTGAGATCGGCTCGGGTGTGCGTGACTCGAATTTAGCTTGAAAGTTTAAACTAAATAGTATTTTAATAAGAAGTGTTTGTGTTTCTAGGCATAATCGAGCGGCTCGTCAAGTGTTTGATCGTACAAAATGCAGGTTCAATTTTTGAGTTTGGAATGCTCGAGCACGAGCCATGTGTTGACTCGAACGCTCGTGAGCTGGAGTCGACGCTCATGAGATGTTCGAACTCGTTTGCAATCATAATTGAGAAGTGTAAAAAAAATATAATATTTGATGGGTTATAACATATTTTTCTCAATACTTAACTAAAACGGAAATAGTTATTTTCATCCCGTCCGGAAGACAAATAACTTGTTTACACCACTATCAAATAAAAAATTACCTTTTTCACTCTATAAAGTGCCAAACAAATTATGTAATAAACTATCGGACTGATTGGTATGAAAAACTGTGTATTTAATATATTTGTTAGCTTATTTTTATATGATTATTTATCACACTTATATATTTTTTAATTTTTATTTATTTATTTTTTTTGGTACAGGGACCTTCCGGTTTCCGGATCCATAGGGGAACCGACTAATCCGGCATCGAGCCGGGTAGGACCACAAAGGCAGAATTTTTAATTTTTATTTATTAAATGAATTTAAGTGCTTTGATATATTTATTTTTTATTTTTAAGATATTAGAGTATTTTCATTGATAGCGTGACACTGAACGAGAATTGAGTAGCCGAGTATGGAGGTGCCCCATACCAGCCCATTACCATCGTACTTTATAGGCCCAATGAAATATATTGCTCCAAATCAAAGACCCATAAATTGGCTGCTCAAATAAACAGTGGATCAGCACATGGCCCATGACCTTTGGGGTATCACGAGATAAGGCCCATTGTAGAAAGAATATGAGGAGTAGCCATTTTTTTTTTTTTTTTCCTTAAGGGGATAGCCATTATTAATTAAGGAAAACACTACACTCCCGCATAATAAGTAAGGATTTTAGCCATGAATTATCTAAAATAATAACTCGCATATATATTTAAAGGCTAAAATATCTCAAGAACCATCCCGTGAAGGGATTGTAGCATTTTCCATTAGTTTAATAGGTGAAGCATTTATTTTCTAAAAACAATTAAGACTTGGGAAGAAAATATATGCGTAGGCCTCTCAGGAGGTTTGGATATAATTAGACCATTGGGGCAAGACAATTAGGTTAGCACGGGGAAGAATTATTTGGGAGCAACATAGACAAAAAAGGGAAAGAAAAAAAAAATAGGGAACAAGCAGACACAAAGAAGAAGCCGATGAAGACGGAGGGAGACCGCAACCCACACACGAAAGGAGCTTAGATAATTTTATTGTCTTCTTTTATTATTTATTATGTTAGACTAATATTTATTTCGAGTTCTGGAGATGTCGAACCCTATGTACATGACTATATTTGAATACTATTAGTGATTTATTATTTTTCTATTTTAATGAAATTGCTTGAGTTATTTTGTTTGATCAACCAAAATGTGTTTGTTTTATTTAGAATTTTAGATTGATCTAGATAAGATTTCTCATGTCTAAAGCTATAATTGAACTTGCAATCCCTAATTGTTGTTAAGTTAGATTCGTTAGTAGCAAACGATAGTCATAAAATGTCGAGAATTGTAATTTGTTAGAGCTCTACTATTTATCTATAAATAGGGTTTTTAATTAGCTTGGGCTTAAAATTCGCTACACGGCTCTCCATCATTCTTCTTACCTCATTTTTTTTTTCTAGGGCTTACAATTTGCCATTTCAGAGAGAATTTGTCCCAGTCGTCTCTCCCGAATGGGACGACTGAAGATACTTACAGCCTACCGGCCTAAAGAGAGTTATATATCAAAGTTGTCTCAAGAAGGCAGTCAACCCATGGAGTCGCCTCTTTGGATGTTGAACCCTGGTGGAGCCTGCTACGATGGCGAGGGGCAACATGCCTTGGTTAGTCTTCAAGGTACAATGGCTTGATGGGATGTCGAAGCCTGTCCTTATTGCTTCCTGAAGGAAAATTTGTATCTCGTTGGTCTCAAAGGGTTAGAAAGAGAGGGGTTTATTAATATCTAAAGCATTTTATTCCAATTTTTCATAACTTTAATATTTTTAATTTTGTGAAGTGCAATTATCCAACATTTGATAAAGAGATTTTCAATGAATATAGGATCATGTAATATCTTTGAAGTGTAACTCATTTGTGCTTTGATTGTAAAGTAGTTTAGTCGATGAAAAAATTAGAACGGTCTTTAGATTGTAAAGGAGTTGAGTGTTGTGAAGTGCAATTATCCAACATTTTATAAAGAGGTTTTCAAGAAATATAGCATCATGTAAATTTTTTAAAGTGTAATTCATTTGTGTTGATGTATGTTTTAATTGTAAAGTAGTCGAGTTAAAGTAGAAATTAGAATGATCTTATTAGATTTTAAAGGAGTTGAGTCTATGTAAAATTAGAACGAACTTATTGAAAATGAGAAATTGAATTTTTAAATGCCTTTTACTATTGATATAATAGACACTCGATTTTTTAACTTTGTTGAATTGGCCCGAATAGTGTGTAATCAACGCATTTGTGCGACTATTATGCGACATGATATGTGAACCCCATAATCTTGATTAATTAGTATGATAAACACTCGGTTTGTTGGACTTTGTCGAATCGAGAATTTGGGATATTGATATATGATATACGAGTGGTGTAATCAATGCAGTTGTGCAATTAACACGCAACATGATATGCAAACTGCATAATAAATGCAGTAGTGCATAACATATACGCTTACTCTTGGCTTCGCATAACTCACATGTTGTTTTGTTTGTGAACCCGTCGATTTTTATTTTTTAGTTTCGTTGTGAGATGACTATGCGAAATGTCACAATATGATTGCATTTTTGTGAAATACTAAGCGATTTATCTCACTTTATTCGCAGTACTATGCGATTTATCTCACTTTATTCACATTTTTGTGAAATACTATGCGATTTATCTCACTTAAGTTGCTTTTACAATTAAAAACTGCAATCGCATCCACATTACATTACATAACGTCTTCATCTTCATCTAAAATGTCATACGTAT